ATATCGATTTTTTACTCGTTCAAGAAATTTTCTGGCAATATTTTGCTTCTTTTTTTGGTGGATACTAAACTTGTTTTGGCTGATATAATCGTGTAAATTTGCTGTACAGCATATGTGGAAGTAATGATTAAGTTAAATCATGATTTGCGTATTTTTAGATTCTATGTTGGTTGTTTTTGTTCCCCTTTCAAAAAAAAAAAGTGATAGTGGGTTGTTTAATTTTATTTAATTTAATTTAGTGTATTCCCCTTAATGAAGTTCCACTTTTAAAAAATTCAACAAACCAACAAATCCTACCTAGTCAAGTTCAAGATTATGTAGAACTTATTGATATGTTATTGAAACGGTTAATGATATATTATTGACTACTAGTTAAAGATGGGGTGATTCAGATTTTCAAAATCAATATACAATCAAATGATCAAGAAATAGACTCCTTGTTTTTATTGAGGATCATCTGATCTGTTGTTACGAAACGTGAATTAGTAGCACTACAAGTTGTCATCTGCAGCAAATCACAAATCGCGGTTCGATAGTATCTGTTATGAACAATGAGTTTGCTAATGTAAATTATTTGAGAATTGCCTACTCTGAAACTGATCATATGTTATATACTTATATCATTCCTATGCGGGTCGGGTCGTTTCCAATACAAATTTGATGTTCAATCATTGGAACTCAAACGCGGCCCATATTGAGTTAGCGGCCCGCTGCACCAGTTAATTTAATTGTAGTGTTTTTTCTTTTTTTCTTTTTTTTTTTTTTTTTGAACAACGGTTTTTTATTCTTTTAAGCCCTCAAATTTTTCACTTTCTATAGATTATATCGATTACTTTGTCACAACTACATTTATCGTTTTGTTCAATTTTATTTTTTTTAATGACGTTGTCCTTACACCAGCACGACATAATGTTCATGCTTAGAGACCACAACTTATAGATTTACAGTTTACTACATACGGTAAGAGATTGTACTTTTATGGGATAATGCAAAAGCTTACTTGTGGAATTAATTTTCTAAACTGAAAATTATAATTGTGTTTAAAATATGTAAACGAGAGTATGTTTTATATACATATTAATGATAACCAGTAGTTCATTTTTACAATTTTCGTTTCAGTTAGTATATTCATTTGATGTTGATTCCATATTTTTGTCACTTTGATGTATTAATAATCAGCAAATATGTAATTCAGATATTTTTGGGGGTGACTTTGGTGGGAATAACTTGTAATTAATAAACACAAAACACCTTTAGACTAGAGAGCAATATGCCCCGTGGTCCTGCTTGTGAACACCTATCTAATTAACATACTTTAGCATTTTCATATGTACATATGGTGGTTGCGTCGACGTAGTCGTAGGTATTACTCCAACATTTAATTTAAATATCTTAGAAAATATATCATTTGTTAATCATTTATTTAACGGCCTTTTCTAGATGACCACAGGAAGTTTGGCTCCAACATCTACCTATAAATCATTATTTAAACACATGTCAAAATATGCACTTTTACTTTCTAAACCAAGACTATATACAATTTAATCCATTAACAAACAAAAAGAATTTGTTTGGTAAGAGAGTTCAATTTTAAATAACAGTGTATCATTACAAAAGTTGCTATGATCCTTTGTGAAAATTGGGAGTTTTTATTGCTGGTTGTTGCCAACGAAACTCTTGTTGGCCAATTTTACATTATTGAGTAAATTAGATGATAAGTTTATTTTAAACGTGGGTCCACATAAAAAACCATTTTATCCAGGTATGTATTTTATTTTCATTAAAAAATAACTTCTAACTATAACTATCAAATAAGAATATAAAAATTTGTTGAAATGTAGGTTGCATTGGTTTTTCTATAGAATCTTTGTTTTTGTTTTGTTTCCACGATGATACATATCCTTAAATATTTTAAGTGAACCTTAAATAGCCAAGCTCTATATTATTGTGTATGTAATATCGAGAGAAGAAACAAAAATAGCAAGACATGAATTCGACAATACATGTTAATGTATACATATATGATATCAGCCATCTTCACTTGTCACTGTTGCTCAACGTGACTATTATTAAACTTGGCCAATATATTTCTATCAGTGGTTAGTATTGTCACAGTAATTTCAATTTGTAATGTACTGTTGTGCGGATGCTAGTGCGGGTAAAAACGTAGGAAAACCCAACTAAACAAAAATATTAAACTAAATCTGAAAATTTTGGTTTCTATTCGTTATTAATATTTTGAAAACATTCAAACAAATCAAAAGTGGATTGAATTCACAAATTTTGGTTAACAAATTCCAATACCAAAATTTGCTCGTTAGAGTAATAAATGAAGTAAGAATTGAGACAAGGGAAAGAAGAGAAGATGGATCATGTGAGTCACCACCGCTCCTTCCATCTTCAAACCAAAAACAAGCCAACAAACACCACTTAACAAAAATTTGAGTTTATTTTTAAAAAATTGGAAATATTGAAAAGAGCAAACAGAAAAAAGTGGAAAAGAAATTGGGGGAAAATGTAAAAGAAAAGCCATAAATTTGTGCAACAAACCCTACCTTCTATGTTCTATTGTGGGTTTATTTTTTACTTCTCTTTTTAAGTAATCACTTCATTCATTTATCTCTCTCTCTATTTCTTCTTCTTCTTGTTTGCTCTTGTTCTTTTACCTTGCTCTGCTTTGTATGTGTGTGTATTGAGGATCAATGGCCTCAAGTGCTTCAAAGTTCATCAAATGTGTGACTGTTGGGGATGGTGCCGTTGGTAAAACTTGTATGCTCATCTGCTACACCAGCAACAAATTCCCTACTGTGAGTCTCTCCTCTCTCTCAAATTTTGATCAGGAATCTCATCTGGGTTTCTCAGATTCAGTTTAAATTTCCGATTTTTACTCATAAAATCTTATCCGGGTGTCTCCAACTCACTATAAATCGATGTGGGTCTTCCAAATCTTTCAGCTTTATTTCAAAGTTAGCTCCTTTTTCCAGGGACTGTGCATGAAATAAGATCCATTTTGTAAAAATCTTAAATCCACTTCCTTTTTCCGAGGTTTTTGCAGCTTTTGTGTGTCTAGTCCAGCTTTATGTTATCCCTTTCTCCTCACAACCTCAGAAATTCTTCTGATTTTGTCTTCATAATACTATTATTGCTATCTGTCGTTGACTTGATCTTAACTCTGAATTTGATTGATTATAACAGGACTACATACCAACAGTTTTTGACAACTTTAGTGCAAATGTTGTAGTTGAAGGCACCACCGTGAATTTAGGGCTTTGGGATACTGCTGGTATGAACACTCTTTTCCCAAATTCCTATCAAATTGTTAATCTTTTCCTCAAGAAATAACAGAGTCTCGAATCCAGTTCCTATTGTACTTAGAACGTTATCTACTGTCATATGTCAAGTTCATTGATCTGAGATTGTTGTATAGACAAAATCCAATTTTTATGTTTCAAGATATTGAGATGATTTAAGTTTACCTTTCGTTTGGGTGTATGTTTGCAGGGCAAGAAGACTATAACAGATTAAGGCCTTTGAGTTACAGAGGAGCAGATGTGTTTGTCTTGTCTTTCTCATTAGTCAGCCGAGCTAGCTACGAGAATGTTTTCAAAAAGGTTTGATTTTGATTGTGAAATGCATTCATCCTTTACTCTTGTGTTGAGTAACTTCTAATGTTTATGACTCTTCTTGTTGATTCAGTGGATCCCTGAGCTCCAACACTTTGCTCCAGGTGTCCCTCTAGTCCTTGTCGGTACCAAATTAGGTAAGAAACCGATGAGCATTTACCAACAGATTCTTCTTAACAGATCAGATATATTGCAGAGTTATGATGTCTTACAATGTCGATGTAGATCTCCGTGAAGATAAACATTATTTGGCTGACCATCCTGGACTATCCCCTGTGACCACTGCACAGGTTTGTTTTTAGAGCCCCTTTTTGTACTGTAGATTACATCTTAAGGCTCGATGATTGTGCTAAGTAAACAACTCTTTGCGGCAGGGAGAGGAATTGCGTAAGATGATTGGCGCAACATATTACATTGAATGTAGCTCAAAAACTCAACAGGTAATAGATATACCTTTGCATTGATTCAAATCGCCTTCATAGTATAATCCAAATCTTTATCGTTCAGATTGACAATATCGATGAAAGTTTACATTTTGCAGAATGTGAAAGCAGTTTTCGATTCCGCGATCAAGGAAGTGATCAAACCGCTGGTGAAACAAAAGGAGAAGACAAAGAAGAAGAAGAAGCAAAAGTCTAGTCACGGTGGTTGTTTATCGTGAGTATATCTTCACAAGCTCTGCATCTAGAAGATTCATTTGAAGGATGCTTACTGACTTTAGCTTTGTTTTTTTTGTCCAGGAACGTTCTCTGTGGAAGGATAGTGACTCGGCACTGATGAAGAAGAACTGAAACTACACTTTTGAGTTTGTTTGAAAGACATATATATATAGATGGAATCATGGAAGAGATTCGTAGCACTCTAATCAATCAAAAGTTACCTTGAAGAGAGACAGAGAGAGAGATAGAGAGCTTATTATATTAACTCGATTATGTTTTAATTGTTTCAAACCTGTTTATTGCAATATATTAGCCATTTTGTTGTAAACAGAGTACAAGAAAGAAAATATGGATCACTTGCTTGTTCAACCATAACTTCAACAAGTAGAATAATAATCTACAAAAGAGTGCCGACTATATAACAAACAACATGGAAGATTTATCTCTCTAAATTTCATGCCAATAATGCTTCAAGACCATCACCATATATTTTTTTTAAAAATTTACAGCAGAACTCAAAAAACATAAACTAAACTCTCTTTTCCTTCATGCCTTTTTGGTCTGGATACATAGATGTTAGAGAAGACAAGGCAAAGAGTAACACAACAAGCATGTTGTTTTAAAAAGTTCACCTGTCAAAACTCTTTCTCTTTGTATGCGAGATGAGAGCAAATAAAACAAAGTCATGATGATGGTCTTGGTTTCACTGAGAGTTTTATCAGCCACGCCTGTGAAAATCCGAGACTGTTGGAGGAGGTATCTACACGATGATTGTAAAACGAAGGGGTCAGATTTTCTCTAAGAAACTGTCCTTTGAAGTCTTGACCAGCTCGATGAACGAACCTTTGTGGCGTGCGTCTGCTTTTCATCTTCAAAGTAACTAGCAGAGCAAACAGAAATTCGAAACACAGAGTCAGAGAGAGAGAGAGAGAGCTAGAAAGAAACAGGAGATAAATGAAAATAGAGAAGATGCTTACAGGCTTAGTGCGACAGCCTACAAAGAGACTCTGAGGTTTGTTATTGCCATGAGGATTGCTTATATCCATCCCATCCACCCTCTGGTTCCTTCCTCTTGAGAGCACCACCTGACATTTGATACATTCTTGCTTGATCATCTTTCAATGGTATAGAACCAGAGGAAGATATTTGTCTTTGTACATGCGTTGCTTCATCTCTCCCATCAGTTTCATGCCCCCCTGGTCCGGAGTTTAAGTCAAGACCTGATCTAAACCATTTTGCACTGTTGCTATCCGAAACTCCACCATTGCTACTGCCGTTTGGGAGGTTAACGACGTAAGGCCTTGGATAATTAGACGGTATGGCAACTCCAGGACCCAATATCTGAGAGTTGACAGGAGGGAAGCAAAGCCTGCCACTTGACGAAGAGTCCATGTATGGTGTTGAAGCACCTGAAAAATTTGCTGAGGAAAGAGGAAAGCTCGTTCCAAAAGGAAACCCGGGATACTGAAACGCTGTGGACGGGAATGAAACTGCTGGAGAAGACAGTAAAACCGGGCCTCTGTACATATCAGGTGTAAATGAGGAAACTCCAGATGAAGGACCCACCATTCTTTGCGGTCCATTGCTGCTAATAACCGGAAAAGGCTGGTCCCCTCGCTCAGGCAAGACTTGAGGAGCACTCATTGCTGAATAATTGTTAGCAGCAGGAAACCAAGATGAGAAGCCAGAAGCCATGTTCTCAGTACTCATTCTTACTCCGGAGATCATTGGCTGTGATGTCAAGCCACTTCGGGAATGTTGACTAAAAACCATAGATGGCTCAACATTTGCATCATCAACAGCTGGTCCATCGTTTAAATCAAAATCAAAATCTCTACGACCACCAGAAGATGAGTTTGCCTGCTGAAAAGATGAGTCTGCCCGATGACCACTGCTTATTGTATAATTACTCAAATCAGTTGGATCATCAAGTCTATTTAGATCAAGATCTAGGCCTCCAGAGGAATTTGTGGGATTGGCAGATCTTTGGGAAGCCAGATCTTCAAGAACTCTCTCATCAGGTACGTTTAGGTCAAAGTCCAAAAACGTCTTCGTTTGCTTGCCAGCGGTTGTAGAAGCATCAGAGGAAGACACATTATTCATGCTTAGTGGCGCCACCTCCTGGACTTTTCTTGGCTCAGCTGGCCTGAAGGCGCTAGTGGCAGCAGATCCTCTCCAGCCAACAGTTGTTTTATTTCTCAGCAGATCATCACATGGAACAAATGCACCCTTTGCAGCAGCAGCAACTGTAATGGATGCAGGAAGTCGATTGGGTTGCAAGGGAGTAGGTGGCAAAGACGAAGATCCAGAGAAGTTATTTGAATTTCCGTTTCGTGTATCATCCCCATTAAAACCTTCATTTAGGTCAAACTCAACTCTGGCTTCCATTTCTGACCCTGCTGAAGCTGAAACCGAAGGAACATCTCTAGCAATAGACGTACATTCCTCCGCTTCATCTCCATTAGCACCACTCACTCTAGACCCATTAGGTCTCCTACAATCTTCTGCAACTTTAGGTGATACTACTTGAGGACCTAATGCGGTGGCGTACCGTTTATCGACTTCGGTACTTTTTAGAGATGCTTCTACATGCTCAAGTTCACCGTTACTTGCAGGTGTGTCCAGACGAGCTGCCAAACGCTTGATCTTGGAGAGCCCAGAAGAATCTGGTACACCTTCACCCAATTTTTTAACTAACTCAGAACTCAAAACTACCGGAGATTTCTGCTCATTCTTGTTCTCACTTCTGACATCAGAGGGTGAATTGGCAACAGCCAGAGAATCTACTGTAAGACATAAGTCGATGGCTTTACATTCAGCTGGCACAGAGGTCGCCACCCTTTCAGCTGTATCTGAAAGACGATCAGCCACTACTCCACAATCATTATCATCCGACTTTTGTTCTGTCATTGATCCGTCAACATTTGCAGTACTTATCTCCTTGGCAAACTCTGACGAAACTGATACACCTCCAGTTTTATTAACTAGCTCAGAGCTCAACATCACCTTTGGTTTCTCTTCTTTCTTACTATCGCCAACAAGGTCTGAGGGTGAATGTTCAGCGGCCAAAGAATCTGCATTTTGACTTATGCCAATGGCTTTACATTCACTCAAGACAGAGTTCAAGTTTACTGTCCTTTTCGTTGTAGCTGCCACACGATCTATCTCTGATGTAACATCAGTCTTAAGTTCACTAACTACCCCACTATCACTATCATCAGACATGTTTTCCCCAATGCCTGATGTGGGAACAGCCGTTGGAGCAACATCATCTGAATTTTCATTGTTCTCCAGGCACTGATCTACCAACCTTTGCAATTCTTTGATTTCTGAATCAGAGTTCTCATCAAGATCTCCTGGCTTAGAATCAGTCACATTATCTAAAGCCGCCAACTGCTCGCCACTACTACTGATATGTTGCTCATTGTCAACAATGGTAGGATCCTTGGAAACAGCTTCAGCTTGCTCGCCAGGCAACACATCCAAAGAATTTGTGATTCGTCTTGTTTGATTCTCTACAGTATTCGGCAAGGAATCTGAAACACGGGATACAGAGGGTGATGCAACAGGGGATTTGGAGATCTCATCAGCAGCTACAGTAGCTAGAAGATTCATTCCAACATCATCCGCACCAGCCATACAAGCATTTGCCTCAGAGTCCCTGACACAGCTTTCAATCAAGGCATTCATTGAACTATGCGATCCACCATGCCTTTTTCCAGTTTTGACGTCATCTCCTACCATAGGAGAAGTAGGTTTGACAATCGCAGCTACTTTACTAGAATCATTAACAGAAGGGGAACCAGCTACCTCATCTGAAACTGTCGACAGGTTTTTAAGGTCATTGTTCTGCGAAGACTCAGTATTCGCATCAAGGCTAATATTAGCTCGATATGTATCATTCATTTCTTTCCCGTTTCGATCAAGCTTCTCAGAAGGAACAGGTGATGGAGCTCTGCTATTATCAGCTGCAGGGTCCTCAAAGGAACCTCCACTAACACATTGTGCCGGACTGCGACCACGTTTTGGCAGCTTAACAATCAACTTGTTGCTGCAACCTTCGGCCATAGGTACGTCAAGAGTGGATTGAGATGCTTTCTCAGAAGTTGCAGTTCTTTGTGATGAGAAGCTCCTGCTCAGGCCAACTTCTCTATGGAATGCACCGGTATTTCTTTGCTGCCCATCATTAACAACAGCAACAACTGTTCCAGGTGAAGGGGCTGATCTAGTAGAACTTGGAGACGTGGTTGCAGACTTCATGCTGTTCTCTGACGGTATTTTGACGGACACAGACTTAGAAGGATGTAGATGTGATGATGATGTCTTGGTTACATCAGCGGATACACCTGAATGTTTAACGCCATGAGAAGCTTCAGACTGACGAGGTCTTCCAGGCCAAGACGCACCCTGATTGGATACAGACTTTGCATCCATTTCTGCCTCAACACGTTTCTTCCATGTATCAACCAAGCTCCTTGCCTTTTTCCCGATTTCGTGGTTCTTATGTGACCTCAAATGGTTAACAGACTTTCCAATATTACAGGTCTGAAGAGCATTGAGATTCACCGGAAGCTTGTCAAGAGCACGAAGTAAGATCAAGAGAAAATCGTCCACTGGTCTATCATTGTCTTTAGGACTGCTCGCATCCCCAATTTTCCCTTTATGAATTTCCTGAAGCCACTCATCAAAAACAGGTAATCCCCTGAGCTGGACAAAACGACTGAGGCAATCAAACTTATCTGTCGCCGCTACAACACTTGCAAGAACTGATCGTCCAGCCAAGTCTATTTTCTTCTCATTCCTCTCAGGCAGCATGAGCTGCACCAATCTCTCAACCCCTTCAGAATCCACCAGCCTGCCTTTTTCAGTAATCTTTGCAATCTCAGATTTCAAACTACTTTCTGTCCTTAGAAAACCAGAGCCACTATCATCAATCCGACGTTCCCGTTTGACAGATTCGGAACTCTGATCACCACGCTCTCTCTTCCTTCCCGTTTTCACTTGCGATGTCGTCGGACTATTCGTTGAACTAGGGGAACGACCACCCTGCTGTAATGTCGTATGCATCTCGGAATGAGTCTTACACAATAATCTATCTACTTCTTGTTGTCGTTCCTGCAGAAGGCAAGA